GTGCCGACTTTTGAGTGATCTTCTTCCGGTGCCTCAACGGTAGCTTCGTCTTTTGGCGCTTCAGCAGTAACTTCTTCTTTGTATTCTCTTGAGCTTTTCGAGGATGCATTTGTTAATGTGTAGTTTTACATTTTCAGCAGACTGTAGAAAGCGTTGAGCCCGAACACAAAGAAGAAGTTACTGCTGAAGCGCCAAAAGACGAAGCTACCATTGAGGCACTGGAAGAAGATCACTCAAAAGTCGGCACTCTTGAGGAAAAATCTGCAGAACAGACCACTGCAGAGACGCTCGTAGCGTTCGATATATCCGATACTCCTGCAGACAGTGCTGCAGAAGAAGTTGCACCTGAGAAACCTGAAGAGGAACACGTGAAAAACGGTGCCTTGGAAAATAAAGAAGCAGAAGAAGCCTCCACTACTACTGCTGCGGTATCCCAAGAGATTGAAAGCGAAAGTACACCTGCCGAGAAGGCCAAAGAGGAATCAGCTGAACAACCAAAATCCGAAATGGTAGAGGAACAAGATGTAGGGTCCCCGTCCGAAAATGCAGTGCAAAATCAACCAAATGTAAGAATTGATGTTGTACTTTCTATACTATCTTCGAGAACTAACGAACTTCGAAGTGATTACATTTGAGTCAATTAAGGCTGCAGCTGATAGACCAGTTAACGAGGCTCGGACGAACGGAATAGAAAAACAGCCTGCACCGGTGATTGCAGAGCTCCCAGGAACAGTCCCAGTAACGAAGGATACCGACGATTCTGTGGTGAAGAAGATTCCATCGCCTCCTAATGAGTTCATTGTAAGTTGTTAGATGTATTTTTAGGGTGTACTTCAGGGTACGGTAGATTCTCTCATCACACCATCATTGATTGTTGTTAGGCGCATCGTCTTCGTCGTGAACAAGAGCAGCGAGAACTCGATGAGCGAAAAGCAAGAATTGCGGCTATTCTCGCTAAGTCACGCAATCTGTCCAGTGCGACGACACCTCTCGTGGCAGGACGAACATCACCACCGCGAAGTGAGTGGGATTTCTTCTCTCGAACTCGAAACTGAGTCAAATATGTACGACATATGACAGATAGGGTTAAAGGACCATCGCTATTTAATTTTGCCTCCAACAACACCCACTATGACACCGTAGGTTGTTCGGGCGTATTGCAACCATTTTACCAACCTCATGGCCATCTGCTCGTTTGTCCTTGTTTGTAATGCATGCAGGGAGCGGCAAAAACCTTAGGCTCATTAAGAAGTGCAGTAGGGCGAGAAGAGCTGCGCCTTTGAAATCAGCAAAGTAGGAGAACTAATCCATCAGTTTACATTGGTATTACCAAAGCTGCTTTCGTTCACTGCATGATGATAATGCTTCTTTCTGGGGGTCTACACAGAATCAAAAGCAGGCTCCGCGTTCAAAAGTGGTGGGCTGTGCGGCCCAGATACTTACAGTCCTCATCATTACGTACTGTCGGGGCGGTTCAGTGCGGCTGCGTTTGGCGCGGTGCCAAACCCGCTCTCCACCAGTATTTAAAGCGAGCAAATGATATGACTGTATTATATCCTCCGTATTACTCGTTTTCTACCACTTTTTGTCGCATACGCGTTTCAACAAAAAGGCTGAGAACGGCTTCAACAGTGTGCACACTCATACTGGCTGACACGCCCCACCGGTCCGCAATGATGAGGACTGTATATACGAGGAGCCGTAAGAGGGGAGGAATCCCAAATCCATAATTCGCATCAGTGCAACGCTGGGACGGTGGCTCTAAGCAATGAT